TAATCAGGCAGCTTATGTCAGTCCTGTCATCAGTCAGTTCTCTAATGTTATTAGTAACAAAGAATCAGAAATATTTCCCAGTAATCCTATCATAATTATATATGTGTGTGGCCAAGTTGTTCAGTAATAAGCTGCCAACAAAGATGCCCATTCTACTATATAACAAGTATATTAAGACTGCACAAAAACACATAAATAGAAAATAGAATGGCAAAAAACACTGGTGAATTAATATATGATGGTGCATATGTTATTAATACAGTTCCTGAAGAAAGGATAAATCCTGGGATTCTCCATGCACAACATACTAATGGACTGCCTCAACAATGGTAGCAGGAACTGAGCAGGAAATACTAGGTTTAATGTCAGCTTGTATCTTAAGTTATCTTTACCCCCAAATAGTGTTGAATACAACGCTGTAGTCAGGTTATACCTTCTATAATGTTTCTAGCATCAACTGCAAGCTTTGTCAACTAGTAAACAATTCATTGTAGCTTAGATTTATTTACTGTTAACCTATGCTGTAAAGTTACTAATTTTCCTCCAAGAAGCTTTCTTCCCTAATGTTATCTTCCATTTTCAGGCAAATTGAGTAGGTTCTGGGTATCTGCAGCAAATGAAGCAGGTTATCCATTCAAAAAAGTGTCTTTCACAATATGTTGCTCTAGGATGGACATGGCTACTCCAAAAATTCCATATAATAAAAGACAAACTAGTAAAGGATACTCTCTGCCAGTGTACTTTGTCAGGTTCCCATTTTTTGGAATAGGTGCATATACTTTCAAAAAGATCAGTAGCCACCCAGTGTTGTCTAAGAATAAAGTGGAGAGTGATAGAGGCTTCAGGTTTTTTTGGAAGCATGCTGTTTTAAAATTAAAACTGGGGAGCAGGGAATCTGGTATATTCCAAAGCAGGCCTGGGCATTTTATGGCCTGCAGGCCACATCTGGCTCTTTGACTGTACTTTTCCAACCTGTAGCAACAGCGGAAGCAAGAAGGGTCCCTCCACAACAGGCCTAGTTTCTTATGTGGCCCCCTTGGGGAAATTATTGTACATATTTGCTCCTAAGAAATGTGTGTAGGCACACTGATTCTGATAGGTGCCTAAGATGTCAATGGGAGACAAGTTGGAAACCCTATATACTCTAGTCTAGGCCAGTATGTGTCTGGTCTGAGATTGTTCTTCAAGTATATTGATGGCTGAGAATTCAGTTTAGAATTTCCTGATTAGTCAACTTGTTAATGATATTTTCCTATGGTTTTCTTCTCATAATTTAGCGGTTATGTAGCAAATGATCTAAAAGCTATTATGAATATATTTATGCATTATAAATTTGGTAATCAGTTGTCATTCTGTTAGTTCTTAAATAAATTGTAGATTCCCAAAAAAAATAATTTGGAATTCTCATACATGGATCTTTTAAAAAAGATGTTACCAGTTTTTTGTATTCCTTTGAAAAAAAAAATAAAACCAGTTATTGTATTTTTAGAAAAGCTGGTGGTCCTGTTGATGTTGGTCCAGAATATGAGAAAGAGGTGAATGATCAGACTGAGAAACTCGTACGATTATATGGTGGTGGAGACATGACCAAATTTCCAGAGTTCAAATTTGAAGGTAAGGTTTTAGAAATGTGCCCATTATAGGTAGTCCTTGATTTACAATTATTTGTTTAGTAACTGTTGGAAGTTACAATAGCACTGAAAAAAAATCCCTTAAGATCAGTCATTACACTTAAAACTTTGCAACATCCCCATGATCATGTGATCAAAATTTGTGCACTTATAACCAGCATGTATTTACAACAGTTGCAGCATCCTGGGGTCATGTAGTTGCCATTTGTGACCTTCCCAGATGGCTTCCAACAAGTAAGGTCAATGGAAAAAGCTGCCATTTGCTTAACATCCATGTGATTCACTTAACTGCAGTGATTCATTTAACAACCAAAGCAAAAAAGATTATAAAATCAGGCATGACTCATTTAACACTGCCTTGCTTAGCAGCAGAAATTCTGTTGCTCATTGTGCTTGTAAATGAAGGATTATCTGTATATAATATGCTTAAAGGTGATAAAACCGAAGTTATAGTTTACTGATGGTTACAATATAATTATAGGCAATAGATCACACGCAGCATTTCTGATTTAGAGGCAAAAATGTGCTTCAGGGTGCAAACACTTTTCTGTTACTACTTAAAGCACCTGTATCTTTTCCTATATTACACATGGTTTCTTCCTTCCATGTTTGCTACATGATCCCATCAAAAGATGTCTTCCTAGGGCTGAGAGAGAAAGTAATTGGCCCAAGGTTACCCAGCTGGCTTCATGCCTAAGGCAGGGCTAGAACTCATAGTCTCCTGGGTTCTAGTCTGGTGCCTTAACCACTACACCAAACTGGCTCTCTACACAGACTTAGCAGGCAGTAATTAATACATTTGAATTCTAAATGTAGTTTAGTGGTTCTAAACAACCACTGTTCTGAATTGTTTTCAAAACAAATCAATTATGAGATTGTAATTTCAATACATTTATGAAACATATTTCCAAATGTTAGTATAAAATAAAGTTGTAGAAACCCATGTTTTCATATTCTTAGCATAATTATCGTCTATTCTGTTTCCAACAATGTCTATACACAATCATACTTGGCATCTTTGTGTTAATTTTTATATCCGCTACAATCAATGTAAGGTTTTGTAGTTTGTTATGATTGTTAATGGAACGTCCTAAAATTCGTTTGTTATTTCAAGTTGTAGCTTGACTAAGAAATAACTCAGCAAGCTTTATTTTTGCATAATTCAGTTTCAGTGATTCGTATCACTAGTACAGGGGTGTCCAACTCGCAATGTCACGTGACGTGTTGCGGCATATCGTGACTTTTTTGCCATTGGCAATGGGATATGCACAGTTTCGCTATGATGCATCCGGCCTGCAGGCCGGCAGTTTGACACCCCTGCTCTAGTATGAAAAAAAAAGCGGAATCCAATGTTGCTTTTTGATGATTACTTGAACATTTTTATGCCATGGTATATCACAAGCAAATGCTGCATTTATTTGCTCTTATCTGGAAAAAAAATGTGTTGAACAGTATTTCTGGTACATGGCAATGGGAATCAAGTTTAAAAAACTTTATTTTCAAAATAAACTAACGAGATTTTTTTTCTACTCTCAACAGAACCTAAATTTGATGAAGTTCAGAAGTGATGTGATCACATGTATACGAAGCATTAGGTTGGACATGTTGAGTTAGTCTGCAGTTATAACTTAAATAAACAGTTCAATGCTAACAGTGTGCACTGGTGTTTTAAATTCAATTATATAGATTCTTGTTCACCCAATATGCTTGTAAAAGCATATTACTAAATATTTCATTACAAATTAATATCTTTTATTTTTCTGATAAGCTTTAATCACTCATTAAACAAAGTAAAATTTTGGAAAATAATTTAAATAGTCCACATTTCAATCATGAGAAATTAGAATGTAACAGTACTCTAGATCAGGGTCCCCAATTACCAGTTAGTGGACCGGCACCGGGCCTCAGTGTGCCAGAAACTGGGCCACACAAACGAGAAGCCTCATCCTGGGATGCAGATAACATGCGAAACCATGCCTCCTCCGGGAAAAACCTCTCTCCATGGAACCAGTCCCTGGTGCCCAAAAGGTTGGGGGGCCACTGCTGAGGATGTCTTTTATCCTATTGTGAACTATATGCAATAGGGATACTTAAATGATTAAAACGTCATTTTTATACACATCAATGATTACTCTTGCTTGGCAGCCTTTTCTGGACTCCACAGTTTTATAGTCTTTCAAGGGAATACTTGTTTTGAATAAACAAGAGCCATTAAGATTGTAGATAATTTCACCACAAAGTCCATAACTTGCTGATATTGGTCCTTAGTAAATAATTATTTTAAAGATAGTAAGCAAGTCTATAGTACGTCAAGGATGTTGAAAACTACCAAATATTCTTTACTATCAGTTTAAGAAAGCACATTTTTTAAAAAAATCTTAAGAGAACAGTAAATGATTCCCCTCCCCTTTAAATGCTGACTTCATTTAGAGAAGTGAAGTATGATCATATCATTTATTTTTGAAAATTATATGGCTGTCAAATCAGATATTTGAAGGATTTAATATAAAAGAGTTGTCAAATACAGTTTGTGATTTAAGTGTATATGCTTATGTTATTTTTTTACATTTGTTATAAATTTGATTCAATTCTGATCTATGCTACAGTTTTTATTTGTGACTGAAAAAGAATCACAACGTTCCTAGTGCTTTTAAAAATTGAACATTATTTTTTATTCTAGCAAAATGCTGGTAGTACTAAAAGATTTGTTGTTTTGTTAGGTGCCCCTATTTTGTTTTCAAAGAATGGGATATGTACAAAATATACCAAAATCTATTGCATTGTTTAACAGTTGGAGATACAAACGCCTGAGTAACATTTCAAAAACAATTTATTTGTATATTGTAAATTGTATAAAACAATTTATTTATTTGTATATATGTATATATATACAAATATATATATATATATATATATATATATATATATATATATATATATATATATATACACATACAAATATATATATTTTAAAAACCAACAATATTTTCTTGAAGTTTTTTCTCAGACAAAAATATATAAACAGCCTTCCTAGACTATTAAATAATAAAATAAAAATACGAATGGTGGTAAAGAACCTTTTACCATAATTTCAGTATCAAATATATGATTGGAAGCCATCAATGACCTTAAAAAATACTTTAAGCAAAATGTTTTTAAATAATATTTTGGCTCCATTTTACTGCAAGAAAACCCCCAACTTGAAATAATGGACTGAGTGAATTTGTATTTTTGGTCACTTGTGTTAGGAAGCAGCCTATATATCCTCAGGTAATTCTGTATATTTTTAGCACCCTCAAAATAACACCGTTGGATTGTATGGCAATCTTTTTTCTGTGTTTGGTGGAAAACAACCAAAAGATATAATGCTATATTTAGGATTCATTTATTTCGATAATTAGTCCCCACCTCAAAAGTAGGAAGTCCAGTCATACAAATAAAAAAGAAAAGAGTAGTCCTTCGTCATTGAGAGGTTGCCAACTCCATTTGGTTCTGCAGTAGATTACACATATTTGAATAAAGTTTCAGACTAAATAAAGACACATATTCTTTTATCATTATCTCAGTCTACTCTTGATGAGTGTTATTGTCTTGATCCTAGCCCTACAACAGCAACAAAACATATTTACCCTCAAATCCAAATTAATGATTTAAATGGATAATAATTTTCAAATCAATTTGTTAGAAATATTTCTGCTTCATAAAATTATCTGGTTATTATAGACTGAGACCAGACTGATTGCAATTTTATTTTCCTTAGCAATTATAGCAGCAACTTTAGAGAAAGAGCAAGTCCTCCGTGAATGCCAAAACCCCAAACTCTGTTTTGGAATAATATGGATAATTGTTTAAGGCTATTCCTTTCACAGAGTTCCATTCAGAAAAGTGGTTTTATAATTAGCCCCCTTAATTAGATCAAAGTGCTATGTAATCCAGTTTCTGATCCTAGTGCCTAATGCTTCCATCAACCTCTGAGAAGTTAAAGGCAATAGCCTTCTACATTTGTCTCCACAAACTAATACTCTTTGTAAAAAATGGGAAATAGTATTTATTTATCACAACTGGTAGCCATTTTAGTCTTATTTTAAATGATTTTGTCCAATTCTCATTCCATGCCATCCAAGCCAATAGTGGTCACATATTAATTATAGGAAAAAATCACAGAAATTTATAATGTGAATACTGTTTTTTGCCTGTATGGAATATTTTCGTCCATATGTCACCAAAAGGCCATGGGAGCTAATGCTGTCAGTGAGAAAACACCAATCTTTCACATACATTTTCCTATTCAAACAGTACCCATTTTGAGATGTAATCAGAACTATACCATTAGTTCACAATTTCTTTACATGTAGATATGTGAAACAGCAATAATATATTTATATTCTGCCAATTATTCCCACTCCTTTTTTAAAGAAGCAACATCAGACTAACATTTTTGACAGCTTTTACCACCTTTTAGCCACAGAATCTTGAATCTGCCACCAAGTTTTTGTTGTTGCTCCTAACGTTTTTACAGAAGAGTTCATCCCTTTGATACTTCTGCAGCAAATTGTGATCCTCAGAAATCGATTTTCTTTTAAATAATAAAGGACTTGGTGTGCTTGAAATCCTAAAGGAATCAAATAATTAACATAATTCAAACAAGTTTTAATGAAGTTCATGCTGTAGTATTTGTAAACAACCTGTGGTCATGTATGTACTCAACACACTAGGAGAATTATATGCAAGTGTACAAAGTATGCTTCTTTATATCAACTTGAACAAAAGATTATTGACCTGCCTTTCCCACTTCTCCCAAATACATACATATATACTACATACATATACATACATGTGTATATAATCCCCAAATATAATAAATCTACCTGATATTACAAGAGCAAATATTTTACTGCTCAACAAATATTAGGAGCACTATCATGCCTTTCATGTTATAGAAGGTTACTAGTTAATTTGGAAGCATTGTGGTCATCTTTGTAGTAATCTGATGTGTGCATGTGAACTGGATTTAAATCTGATTTAACATGAAAAAGTCAAGATCCATTGGCATGAATCCATAGGTGATGGCCATTATGATAAATATTACTAGCATCTCCATGGACATCTGCCTAATATTACATTTTCTGTCAGTGATCTTGTATGATAGAAAGATCATAGCAAAAAAAGGACATTTTTTTAAAGGTAGACTTTTCATTTATATCATCTTATAAACCTAAACAAGTTTGCCATAGCCAATATTGTTACACTATACTGTGTGATAATGATCTTAGGAGAGGACAGGTATCCAGAGTCAAAAACTGCTGCGGCTCCTTCAAAACCAACAAATATAGATGGGAAATTATATAAGCTAAATTTATGTTTAAACATAAAATAGCCATCTGGACCTTTTTCCCCCCTCCTGAAATATTAGTGTTCATTTGAAGGGATACCATACTTGATCTTAGTCCAAAGGCTGAGAAACATTTAAAGGGAACATTTTATGAGGAATATTTAAAATCAAGTCCCATCTTCTTTCCCTGCCGATTCCTTCCCCAGACTCAGTAAGAATATATTACTAGGTTCAATTGACTTGTCCAGTTTTTAGCAACTGTACCTTATATAATAGCTGTGTGAAACATGCAGATTATATAATACTCACCTTTTCACTTTCTGTAACTCTGTACTTGGAACTCATATTCCTGCTCATGAAATAAAAAAAAATTACATCTGAGCACTATCTATCTATCTATCTATCTATCTATCTATCTATCTATCTATCTATGTGTGTGTGTTTTCTGAGGTTTTCGCGGGTGTTTGTATGTAGGTCTTTGGTTATTCGGGTTTTCTCCCGTGTCAAATTGGAAGTGTCTTGGCGACGTTTCAAAGAAGTCTCATTCATCATCTTCAGGCTGATGTTTTCGGCTTCAGGCTGTGTTTTCGGCTTGCTCCTAGAAGCACAAAGCCGAAAACACCAGCCTGAAGATGATGAATGAGACTTCGTCGAAACGTCGCCAAGACACTTCCAATTTGATGCGGGAGAAAACCCGAATAACCAAAGACCTACATACATACATACATACATACATACATACATACATACATACATACATATATATGTGTATGTATGTATGTATAAAATTTTTCCATACATATTTCAACTGAGTTTCCCTGAACTAAAACTACTATTTATTAATTGTCTGGATAGTGTACTGATGAAGATATTTTCATGTATAAAGCTACACCAATCACCAAATTTTAAAATTTTAGCCTAAAATCTTGTGGCCGTAATGATATCAATATGTACAAAACCCTCATGTTGAAATATTATAGTAAAAAATTCATTTGGCATTTAAATGAATTTGTCTAAATAGAAAATATATGTACTTTAATTATGAAAACAACAGTTACTATTCTTTTAATGAAAGTGAACTATATATTTAGCCCAGTGGCCAAAAACCTTTAAAAATTTAAACATGTTCACTGATGAAACTGTATAATGCATAAAGAAAAAGATTGCCCAATGATACTTTACTGTATCCAAATATTTTAAATGATGTATTAGAAATCACTTTAAATATTTTCCAGCTGTACCAAAATTTAAAGATTACATTTTTCAAAAGGCAATAATGTAACTGAATCTACTCATTCTACTCGATTGCTTCCACAACCCAGTAGAAATTATGATTAACATTTTGGTAGTTCAAAGATGACAATAGACAGAAAAGTAACTGTACTTACATTGAAGAATTCCTTTCTAAAAAAAAAATAAGAAAAAATGCAATAAGACTAATACAAGTTGCAAAGTTAATTGCAAAGTTTTTGAAAAATTAACTAGTACAAGACCATCTAGAGTTGCATTGAAACAGATATTGTATTCTCTCACTGATTTTGGGACACATTCTTTTGTATTGCCTATCAGACTGCAGTTTCATATTAACATGACTTGCATGATTGAAAGTATAAACTGCCTTAAGGAATTTCTCTGAGAATTTTCCTTGCAGATTGGTGATTTTTATCTTCTTTCTAAGGGATAGGTTAACTTGGAACATCCCCTAAATAATCTGAAGGAATTTATTGAGCATCTGCTCTTTACCTAATATGGATTGCTTTGCCATGAATTATAAATAGCTAGTTGCTAGTGGTCTTAGCAAACCTATTCACAGCTACTTTCTTTTCTAGATGTATTATGTGCGGGGCTTGTTTTCTCATAGAACACCAAGAATGGAGTTCCCGCACCTTTTTTGGATGGAACCTTGTAGGGTAGGCAAGGCGGGTTGTATGACACGTGTGAGTTCCAGCACCTTTTTTTTTTTTTTAAGAAAAAAAGCACTGATTATGTGTCTGAGAAGAAAAAACAAGATTTTTTTTTAAAAAAATTATAATTTGTTATGGAAATGCTAAAAAATACAAACTTCTTTTGATCAATTATGAAAATATTCAAAACCACAATAGGGCAATACTTCTTAGAAATAACTACAATATTACAAAATAATGAACATATTTTCAGAAATTGACAGAATCTAGAGAAATATGGAGAAAGAAGACAAGATTAGGACAAAGATTTACACACACACACACACACACACACACACACACACACACACACTGGAATTAAGACATTGTTAAATTTCTCCTGCCTGCTCTCTCAAAGAATAATGGCTCTGTTTTACTGCTAAGAGTCCAAATTGTTCTCTTCTTTTTGTGGCTCATTGTTCCTGTGAGAGTAAAGCATGCAGAGCGCAAGAGCTGACCAGCTGCTCTGCTGAAAGTGAAGTGCATTTTATTTCAGCAAAATCTTCTGTAAATGAGTGTGCTTCTATTGTAATCCAGCAGAGGGAGTTAACTATTAAAATTCTGCAAAGATTAAACCTGCGTCTAAACATCACTCTGCGTAAACATCAAAGTGCATCAGTTTTTAAATTACTAGTACTGTATATGCATAATTGCATTTTATAATACAGAATGTACCTGTTAAGAGTTCTAATTCAGACTGAATTCCAAAAAGGTATCTAGGTATACATGGGGGCACAATTGTAGCAGAATCTGATACAGTATTCAATTTAGCAGACATAATATTGGGGAAATTGCAGCTGCTCTAAAGATTTGCAGTGAGGTTTTGTAATAATGCTAAAAGAAGCAAAGTGTCAGTGTAGCCTTCCTGGACTTCCACAAGAGTTTAAAAACTTGGCTCTAATAATTGACTTCGGGCTCTAATGGAGGGGTTTCACAATGGGGGTGACTGATAAATTAATAGCATATCCCACCTCTCCCTTTCTCATCTTACTCCCTCCCTTTCCATCTTTTAATTAGGGCTGAACATTTAGATTTTTACAGTATTTATATTGTCCGTATGTTTTGTATAATTTTATCTTTTTAATATTGTAAACCTGCCAAAATTACCCTCTGGTAAGATGGATACCAATAAATTAAATTTAAATACATACATACATACATCTTTTCAGAATTGTTTTCAAAGTATTGCACAGTCCTAGTTTCTATACTGTGCATGGGCTGTTTTTAGAGCTAAATTTGCCAAATAGTTCTATGATTTTCATAATTCTGATAGCCTCAAATATAGAGACACTACAATAGCAATTTAGCCATTTCTTTCCAATGTGAATACTGTCACAGTCCTAAAGGAATCTTTATTTTTATGGAGCTCATTATTCTCTAGTCATGTAGTTCCTCAATAATAGTAGTAACACAGAATCGCCAGAGTACAAGGAAGTGTTTCACAAGTTATCAAAGGTACATTAAATCTAATTGTACTTAATTAGTAAAATATATATATATATAAATTTTGTTGATTCTCCAGCCAGGAAAGGATTAGTTATCTTTGTGTTTGTGTGTGCGTATTTTGGGGTGAATGGGTTGTCAATATCATCATCTAGTCCTTATTTTAGTATACGCAATGAATCCAGTGCACATAAAAATGGGTGGGACTTGGAACATCCAGTTATGTGCACCATTTTTATTTCCTCCTATTGTCCACGAAGGCTTCCACTTCTGTTGTACTAATTGTAAACACAATTCACAAACAGATAGGCAATGAAATATTTTTAATACTTCAAAGAAAGGGTAAACTCTACTTACTTGAAAAATAACCCTTCTTCTGTGCATAATATACCCCAAGACCACAGGAAGCCATTATTAAGGCCACAATAACCACCGAAGCTATGATTGCACTTACATTAAGGTCATCTAAAATTCAAAACAAAATAAATATATTGGGAAGGGGTGTAATTCCCAGAGTAATTATTTCAAGTAAGTCATCTTGAGAGAAGGCAACAATGACTAACATTCAATCTTAATTGAGAACATTAAATAAAAACTTTACTCATATGTTGTTGCATGTAAACAATGACAGTTCAATTTTCACTATGGTTATTGTTGAGTCCTTGGCAAAAAGCAGACGCGAGAAGCAGTTGTAGTTCTCAGGTTTCCTTTTATTCTGTGTTCAGCTTACAAGTGAAGGCTTCAGCAACGCCCCAAAGCTCCTAGCCTCTTATATAGGCAGTTCCCGGGTAATTGTGTTACTTTTCCCGCGCCAGCACCCGCGCATGTGCACAGGCGCTGGCGACAGCCTGTCTGGTCCCGGGCAGCTTGCACCTGCCCGGGACTGCCTGCAAACGCCCCGAGCCCGTTTGCAAGGCTCGGGACATAACACCCCTTTCCCCCGGGCTAAGACTACTACCAACATACAATTATTTCTTGATGCAGTGTTCTACTCCCCAGTGCTCCTACTGTTTACTGGCTTTTGTTTGGCCAGCAATGTTATGTAATCCTCTAAGTATTTAGGAGATTTCCTTGCTCTCTGTGACCTTCTCAGCTCTGGGTTTCTGACAGGTGTTTCCTGACTGAGGGGAGACGTGAGCCTGTTCTCCTTATCATGCCTTGGTGCCTTCCAAGGACTGTGCCCCGATGCCTGGCCTGCTTGCTCGCCCACCGGGCTCGTCAGGCCAGGGCTTCTGTCACCTTGTGACCTAGTTGACCTGCCTAACTGTAGGCCCTCAGGCCCCTTGAAGTGATAGCCACTGCTGGGCGTCTCTATAGAACCTCCTAGGTCCGTCCAAGACCTGTCAGGAGGCTGTCCAATCCCTAAGCCCCATTCTGTGTCCGGGCTCGTGTGGGTCTCTGTACCTTCCCAAAACTCAGTTGCTCCCTGATTTGGGCTAGAGGTGTTGCGGTCGGGACTTGGTTCCTCAACCACCTCCCTGTAAAATTCTCATTGTTAGTATAATCACAGTCGCAATAGGTGGAGCCCTCCTTTGTTGCCTATGCCAATTAGCACCTTTAGGGTTAAAATGCCTAAAGGTCTGCACAACTCCCATCAGAAGCAAGGGACAGAGCAAGAAAACACCTCTCATGATGTGCCAAATTGATCACCACTACCGTATATATGAACCAGTTGGGCTAATCACTGATACATCAGTAATAGTCCAAAATGGGGGAATTGATGAGAGTTGGACACCCCCTCCCCAGCCCAACTAAGAAATAATCTAGGAACACCCCAACTAAACTGGGTCAACAGCAGCCTGAGGCTAAAACAGCAAACACTTGACACACACAATGAGGAACCAGCTAGCAGCAATCAGGACACAACAATAAAAGTAATTAACACCTTTTAGGCAAGAAAAAGGAACTAACAATAGTCACAAACCAGCAAATCAAGAAAGACAAATTTTAACTCACCAATTAGAAATGGTAAGTTTGTTACCAATCAGAAATGACAAGTTTGGAAACCACAAAAGGGTATAAAAACCCCTGTTTAAAGATCACTCTGTCTAGCTAGCCGGGGACTCGAGCTGAATTGTCACTCAACGCTGATCCTCGAAATTAAACCTCTTTCTGGTAGCTGGCTTCATGATCTATTTCTTCTGCGCCGCACTGTCAAGGGGTATCCCGGCTGGAAGGACCGAACGGGGGAGTTCCTCCCAACATAAGCAAGGCAGTTATTAAGTGAGTTCTGCTTCATTATATGACCTTTTGCCAGTTGTTAAGTGAATCACTGCATTTGCTAAGTTGTGTGGTTGTTAAGCAAATCTGGCTTCTCCCACTGTCTTTGCTTATTGGAAGCCAGCTGGAAAAGTTACAAATGCTGATCACATGACCCTGGGACAGAGCAACTGCCATAAACACATGTTAGTTGCTAAGTGCCTGAATTTAGATCACATGACCGTGCAGATGCTACAACAGTCATAAGTGTGAAAATAGAATAGAATAGAATTCTTTATTGGCCAAGTATGATTGGACAACAAGGAATTTGTCTCTGGTGCATAAGATATGAACATACATACAAGCAACAAGTGATATATCATGATCATAATCATAAAATACAAGCATCATAAATCATGAGATACAACACTCAGTGATAGTCGTAGGCAGTGGTGGGATTCAAATATGTGAACAACCGGTTCTCTCTGTGGATGCTGCTTCCAGAAGTCTGTTCTGGGCCTGGGCAACAAAAAATTAGCTACCCGTTCTGCCAAACTGGCTGAATCCCACCACTGATCATAGGATACTAAATAAAAGCAATCAAGATAAATCATAAGATACAAACAGTGAAGTTATAGTAACTTCATAGGTAGTAGGAGAGATGAGAAGGATAATACAGATCTGCTACATGGTTTGATATCCAAAGGCATGTGAGAATTAGTTTTAGCAGAGTGATGGCATGGGTGAAAAACCTGTCCTTGTGTCTAGCTGTTTTGGTGTGCAGTGCCCTATAGCGTCATCTTGAGGGAAGAAGTTGAAACAGTTTACGTCCAAAATGTGAGACCCTGTCCTCTGTAGATATTTTCACAGCAATCTTTCTGGAGTATACAGATCCTCAATGGAAGGTAGGCTGGTTGCAATTGGTTTTTCTGCAGTTCTATTTATCCATTGAAGTCTGTTTCTGTCCTGCTTGGTTGCTGTGACCAGACAGTTATTGAAGTACAAATGAGACTCAATAATTTCTCTGTAGAACTGTATCAGCAGCTCCTGGAGCAGTCTGAGCTTTCTGAGTTGGCGTAGGAAGAACATTCTTTGTTGTTGCTTTGTTGCTTTTTAATGACATTTTTGATGTTAGGTGTCCACTTCAAGTCCTGAGAGATTATAAAACCCAGAAACCTGGAGGTCTTTACTGTTGATACTGTGTTGTCTAGTATTGTAAGAGGTGGTAGAATAGAAGGGCTTCTCTTAAAAACTACTATCATCTCTACAGTTTTGAGTATGTTCAGTTCAAGATTGTTCCAGCCATCATGCAGGGCCAGTTGTTCAACTTCCTGTCTGTATGCAGGTTCATTATCATATCAAATGAAGCCAATGATTGTTGTATCATCTGCAAATGTCAGTACTTTAACAGAGGGATCCTTTGAGATGTAATTGTTAACGTATAGAGAAAAGAGCAATGGAGAGAGTACACAGCCCTGGGGGGCACCTATGCTAATTGTTCGGGTATCTGATGTGATTTTGCCTAGCTTCAACTGCTGCTTCCTATGTGTTAGAAAGCTTATGATCCACTTACAAGTATGGTCAGGCACAGCTAGCAGAGTCAGTTTAGTAAAAAAAATATCTGGAATAACGGCATTAAATGCTGAGCTGAAGTCTACAAACAGGTAGACTTGCATAGGTCCTTGGAGATTCAATATGTTGTAAGATGAAGCACCGTGCCATATTAGCAACAACATCTGCCGATCTATTTGCTCAGTAGGCAAATTGAAAAGGATGGTTTTCAGGTGGACCAGCACTAACCTTTTGAAGGTTATAAACTGGTCATGTCACTTTTTTCAGTGTCATTGTAACTTCAAAATGTCAGTAAATGAACAGTTTTAAGTAGAGGACTACTTGTAATGTATTAAGATTAGTATTCATTACCCTAAAATTTAGTTGATAGAAATTCTGTGTACATGTCTCAGACTTAAAATAAGATTGGTACTTACAAAATGTAAATGGTAAGCTTGTTAAAATAGTGCCTTTAAAAAAATTAAACTGATTCTGGGCAATAAATCCTCTTTGTCTTATAATTATGACAATTTCATAGAAACATTTTCTGGCCTTATTTGCATTTGATATTTACCAACTTGCATCCTCTTCGCAGGACACCTTTGAGGCCGTCCTACTTTATTGTGAGCTTCACAGTAGTATTCCCCAGTGTCATTCTTTGAAACAGGATTGAACAGCTAGTTTAAAAGAAAATACAGATGTATTCATGAACAATTAGTCCTTAAATGTCCTATATATTCCTTTGCATTATTTAAAAATATTTCAATATTTACAATGTCAACATTTTCCAGTACTGAAAATGCTTAATTCATCAATATGTAAAACCTTTCTAAAATAACTAAATTCCTCAGTGTTGTTTCCATTTTTGCATCAATTTATTCCCAATTATTTAATTCAAAATTCATTTTTTCCTCATAACTGAACTTGCAATTACAAAAATATTCATGATGTGAACTGTTTTGGCAGTTGACTTTCCTTTTTTTGTTGTTATTTCTACAATTCCATTTGCATTTCCTCAGTGTTGCTATAATATAGTTTGAATTGTTTTGTGGACTGGAAAGTCACACACTTAAGTGTCATTAAAGAAATGTAAACTTACCAAGGTTCCTGTCGTAGTATTCAAAGTATAAGAAATGTTCCTTTTTTTGAACCTCCAAAACAATGGGTTCTCAGGCAGAATAGCACCATTCCGATACCAACTGTATTTTGAAGCTGGCACACCTTCACTTTCTTTGCATCGCAATTCTACTACTGTCCCACTAAGAGCTGAAATGGGCACTTCACAAACAGGAGCAGATGATGGCACTAGAAAATTATGTCATATATCTAAGACAAATACCCGTATTTCTAAATCTGAATATTTTTTCACAAATTACTCAAATTAAACTTTGAATGGCATGTGTGGGTGTTTATATACATACATACATACATACATACATACATACATACATACATACATACATACATTATCTGTTAACAATTTGTATTACATCTGCTACTTCACTGATTATAATCTTAAATCAATCAACAAAATACCAATATATCAGTTGTATTTTCTACATGCATTTTCTTTCACAGCATTAAATAATACAAGGGAAAGCTGCTCACGGTACCATACTTGTCTCAAGTAAGCAGAAGAAGGGCAAGCAATGCTGAGGCTAGAAAGCATTATTTCCCTGTTATGACACCTGCATCGTGGAATAGATTCCCTCTAAAAATTAGCCTGGCGTGCTCAGAAATCATCTTCTAGAACCTTTTAAAGACTAAAATCTTCCATAGGATGCTTTGCCATCTAAACTTGGTTGTTTATTTTTATAGCAATAGCAATAGCACTTAGATTTATACACCACTTCATAATGCTTTACAGCCCTCTCTAAGTGGTTTACAGCCTATTTCCCCCAACAATCTGGGTCCTCGTTTTACTAACCTCAGAACGATGGAAGGCTAAGTCAACCTTGAGCCAGTGAGAATCAAACTGCTGGCAATTGGCAGAATTAGTCTGCAATACTGCTTTCTAACCACTGCGCCACCAAACCTCTTAAACAAGTTATAGCTAATTTGTTTAAAGTGCCTAACACTTTTCCCTAATTTTTCATACCTTTCTCATTTACAGTCATTAATTTAATTATCCTCAGTCAAATAGATGTCTTTATTTGGCTTAAAAGTGTTTTGTCATAAAATTACAATATTCCCGTATTTCATCTTTAACAGTTGTCAAATAAAATTTAAAGAAAAATGCTGCCCTGCAGAATTAAAATTAAGATTTAATTTAAACTGCTGATAAGAACCTTTAGATTTCTTACCCAAGACTAAGAGAGAGACTTCAATTTCCCCTGCTTCTTGTCCTTGTTCTGTAGGTGCACTAATTTCACAACGATACTTTCCAGAATCCTTTCTAGTCACATTTTTAATTTGAATGCTTGAGTGCAATATTTCAGCTCGATCTTTAAAATTACCTGGAAAACATTGAGAGAAATGAGAGGGGTGGAGGAAGAGATGATGGCAGCCAGCTAGAGACTCTTTGGTAACTGTTTTCTATGTAAAAGATTGACATAGAAGTGGTTTTCTTTTCCAGTCATGGTTCCGACATACAATACACACTTGCTTTCCATTCTTCAAAGGATGTTTTCTTATGAATTATTTTACAGTTTTGCATTTTGGATTAGCTTTTTAAAAAATCAAATTAGAATTTTCAGACAACACAGATGCAACTACATTTCCGTTTTTCTTTTCCTGCTGCCCGCAGATAAAGCAGTGGCTGTAACAATTTTTTGTTTGCACTTCTCCACAGTTCTTCTCATAAAGTTAGTATTGTCTTTTCAAACCGTATTCTATGTGGAAATGGAGGGGGGGAAGGGTAGGATAGGATTAGGACTGCATTTTATATTTTCACTAAAATTCTCTTAAGGTGAATATTATATCATAATCTTTCTCCAATGTATCCAGACACGTATTTCTGCCTTCATTACCAAATCTTTTGCATTTTCCCCACTCTAGTAAAGCCCCTTCCCCAAATAGAATTGCTTAGATCAGGACCCACAAAAACAGGAGCAGAACATCCTAGCCAAGCTTTAATTGGACTGAAGTTGGCTTCACATATGTAAGCCGCATACTTATCTTTTCTGTGTATTCTTCTAAGCACCTGAAAGCATGCAAATAAAAAAGGTTATATCTGGTTAAGCTCACATTAGTCAGCAGTCATTTCTCCAAATAATCATGGTGATAGTTTTATCAAAATAGCTGCTAAAGTCCAAGCTCAATCCAGGACAGTCAAATTCAGATTTCCAGACAGACAGGTACGTTGTTTATTGGGTGACCAATAGTTATCTCTCAACCCAACCTCTCTCACAGAATATAGCCAGGATAAAATGGGGAAAGAATGTATTTTCTTGAAAACCTTGGGAGGATGATGAAATATAGGAAATAAAATCTATAGGTAGCCTTTATTTGACCTCTATGTGATCCTATACTTGGGATCATTAATGTGCTACAAACAGCAAGTTAAAGAATAAACAAGCAGAAAATATTTGCTTACCTACAAAGAAACCATTCAAGTAGACATATGAGACACTGGTGCCTTTAATCTTTTTCCATTCAACCCTTGCACCAATTTCTTTCTTTACATTGTGCTTACAACTCAGATATACCCCTACAGGGAAGAGGAGAAAAAGATGGTTGTTTTTTGTTCTGGTATAGTTTTTATTAAAGTTATCCAATGCAAACAATGGGCACAAAACTGATTTCAATAAGGTGATTCTGAATGCCATTTCACAAGTTATATTTTGAACAGAGATTAGTTACCTGAATGTAACATACCTTCATACTCATAATGTCTGAAATACCATGTAATTTATTGTAAGTCCTTTAAAAATGGTGGGTTCATTCTTTCTTAGACCTTTTTTTTAACTGATACATTTATCAGAGCTTTTAGTAATCGAAACAATGTCTACTTACAAGTGTAATGGTGGACAGGGTAAGAATATAAATCTCAAAGGTATAAGCAAACCCTCACTTTAATGCAAGTAGGGGGTGGTATCCATTAAAGTAGAAGCCTGTCAAATTTAACAAGCTTTTATGCATACATACTATAAAATGGTGGAATGGGACACATTTTGTCCATTTCATCTGAAGTGTATTAATATGGGATTTACTATGCAATGTGTGGGGAAAACTCTGGCTACCCAGGAAATTAAAGTTTTCATCTTGCAGAGATGTTCATTTTGAATATTAGAACTCCTGAACTTCAGATCACTAGGAATACCCATGCTGTCATTTTTCAGGAACACTCTTTCAAACATTGTTTTCAAAGGGCATTCTTTTAAAGACAGGTTTACTGATGAGATGTTATATTCTTAGAAAATATAAACAATGTTACTACAGCAGACTTCTAGAGCCAAATAGTGGAAACGGCTAGGTGGTGCCTTTCCTGAAATTTAGTTATCCGGAGGTCAGAGTATTTTTATTCTGTCAAGAATAAAGGTTATTAATCAAAGCATTTTTATTTTCACAATGTTCTTTTTTTCTTATTCCTTTAGTCTTTTTTTAACAAAAAATGATTGCATTGTGTATGTGTATTTTAATGAGGACTGATGAAATAGACAATATAAAATCTATCATTTAACATGCACAAAGGAAAAACCTTAATTTCTTTCACATATCTTCACAAAAAATGTGTTTTCAAATTGAATTTCTCACTGATATTTTTTAAGAAAAAAATAAAAAGAATTAAACAATTTAATGAAAATTATTCAGTATTATATAATATTAAAAACCAAGCAAAATGTTTCTGAAATATGCAAGGATAAAAAAAAACCAAAATAAACATTTTAAAAAGTGAATATTGGAATGGAGAATTCACAACAAAAAATTTCAAGAAGGAAAGGTGGCGACATTTGTGAGAAAATAGACTCTTTAAATCTGTTCTTTAAAAAAGAATAAAGTGATTCTAAGTCCAAGCTTTCAAAATGCTAAGGTTTCCCAAATTAATGAAAAAATACTTGAAATATTTTTTTAAGTATGCATTGTCCAAACTTCCATTTATTCCATTTTCTGCAGATATAGATTGAAGCTCCATATAAATCCTCCATTTCTATATTCCCTTTCAAGGTATTCCTGCTTGAACTATCATGTAACAAGATGGAATGTATGTCAAAACTGTGATTTATTAATCAGAAGCCCACAGCAAACCATGATGAGCATAGACAAAGGTAAGGATAAAAGCTTGTGTTAGAAAGACAAGGCTTCAACAGAACACTTGCAGAGAAGCCAATATTGTTTCTGTCTTGGATCTGAAAGAAAAAAAAAATAACCTGATGTAGGAAATTTTATGAAATATTTATCAAATGGCAAAATATTTTTTTTTAAAAAATAGAGATGGATCACAAGCAAAGAATAGCAATTCTTCCACAAAGAAGTTGTCACATGCTAGTTTCTTCTTTGTTCTAATAGCAATTCACCAAGGTGAAATGGTATGGAATGGGATAACTACATAAATTATTTCTACTAATCCTTCTTGACTCTGAACATGTATGCAAGACATGTCAGATACTTATTCAGAAATTATGTGCCAAAATATATCACATAGATTATAGCAATAATCCCAAATTAAGCAAATTCACAAAAAATGGTGAAAACAGACAAATTTTCAAATGTTAGAAATCTGTCCATGTTCCTGAAGGAGAAAGACTATAGTAAAAATGTTTATTGTGAGATTAGATAACTTGAAGCCCAAGTAGAAAAGAAAATATTTGTAAAACCTCTCTAACCCATGGAAATAAGAGGCAGACTTTAAAGAATTGAGAAAATAGCTTCCTATAGATTCCACATCAATGGAGGAGAGATCCCCATCAATGAAATTTTTTGTTACCTGTGAATTAGAAGAGCCAACAATGTCAGACTTTAAAATCAAACTAAAACATGAATATCACACAAAGCTAGGATGGAACAGAAAAAAAAAATCAGTTTAGGAAACACATTCCTATCTAAACTTTGTAATGTGAACAAATGAATGCCAACTTCCAAAAGGTAAAGCACATGGATTCAATGAAATTGAGAAAAAGCAAACATAATAGGAAGGACAGAATGGAAGTCTGGAAGATGGAGAGGAAGTTGCAGGTGATTTTCCCAAATATCAACTCATCCACTCAATGTATGGGATTATGTATAATGTAATTATGGGAATACATTTATTTTCATTGTTTTAGAAGGATTTGAACAAGCAGTAACATAATTTATCTACTGATAATAACTGTGAATAATTAAAAAGATATATCCAAGGTTAGTACTATGAATGCTTTCAACTAGATTTAAGTATATTTTTAATTTTCTTCTATTAAATAAATATGACATAATACATTTTTGAGTTTGGCTGGATCATCTTAGAGAAAAGCCAAAGAACATTTGAAACAAGTATATTAATCAAGTAACTAAATGATTCTGGATGGATATTTTATGTTTCTACAACCTACTATACTTTAATGATATGAGCCTTCCTGACTCCTTACCTTGTTTCTGTGTTTCTATGGTTTCCATATACTGTAAATATTTTTTTCTCAGAACAGTTCTATATATATATATATATATATATATATATATATATATATATATATATATATATATATATATATATATATATATATATATCCAGTGTGGGATTCAAATACCTGAACAACCGGTTCTCTGTATGGACACTGCTTCCGGAAGTCCGTTCTGGGCCTGGGCCTCAGAGGCCCAGAATGGACTTCTGAAAGTGGCATCCATGCACTTCTGGTAGGCTGTTCTGCACCTGGGAAGCCACCCCCGGGCCTCCAAGGTTCAGAACAGATTTCTAAAGCGGCATCCACACACTCCCAGTAGTCCGTTCTGGGCCTTGTAAAAAAGGGCTAGGGCAGTGGTGGCGAACCTATGGCATGGGTGCCAGAGGCGGCACTCAGAGCCCTCTCTGTGGACATGCGCATTGTCACCCCAGTCCTAGGCCTTCAGCTGAGTTTTATAAAACCTTTTTGCTTTAGGCCTCCACCGCCGTGTACAAAAAAAAGGTTCAATCAATCAGTCAATTTCAATTTCTTGTGGGAAAAAAAAAAGATCTTGCAAAGTTGGAATTGATTGATTGAACTTTTTAGTCCCACCCAGTCTGCTGTTACCACCGCAGCCACACCCACCCAATGGGGCACACCCACTCAATGGGCCACACCCACCCGGCACCCAACGATGCATAAGTGGGTTTTGGGTTGCAGTTTGGGCACTCGGTCTGTAAAAGGTTCACCATCACTGGGCTAGGGCTTCAGTTGGTTCACCAAAGTCAACAAAAAATTAGCTACTGGTTCTGCCGAACTGGTGCAAGCCAGCTGAATTCCACCACTGTATATATCTAAATATTATATACTATACCTTCAAATTCTCTCGCTGTAACACGTTCATTGTCTGAATACACAGTGATTCCATATGTTTTATAGTCTGAAAAGAAAAAAAACTTACATTAAAATGTTCATTATTTTTTATACTGACACAAAAAAAACTCTCCCTTTCTTTGCAATCATACTTTCAAGGCAGCTTGATGTCATTTAGGGTAAATTTATGAATTCCTATGTGGAATCAAGGATTTAGATTTTTAAAATTTATCTTGTTCTTTTTTGAAACTAGGTTTTAAGGTTTTTCTTGTATTCATTTTATGTTACAAGCCAACCATGTTTATTATTTGCAATTACATCAATTTTCTTCTTTCATTTTAAGATGTTGAACTTGCTCTATGTCAGAATAACTAGGCTGCATTTTGCAAAATTTATTATTATGAAACACAAAGAACTGATAAACATACAAGAGACAGAGTATACAGAGATAGAGCTTCGTTTATTTTTAGTGGCATAGCTTTCAAACAATGTTTAAAGTCAAATAGTCGCTCATCTCAAAAACTATTGCTCAACTGAGACAATGTGTACAATACAGAGGATATTTCTGTTTGATCACAGGGAGCCCATATCAATTCATGGGGGGTTGTTGTGAAAGAACAAAAAAAACAATCCCACTTAATTTCTTGGATATTAAGACAAAAAATGCAAGAAACATGAACAGAACCCAGCTAGTTGCATGCAGTTGCTTCCTCTGTGCCCATCAAGGGCAGGAAGGGACCTTGGAGGTCTTCTGGAACAACCTCCTTATACCATCTGGGATAAATGGTTGTCAAATCTTTTCTTTAAAACCTCCAGCAAAGGGGCACCCACAACTCCGGGAGGCAAGCTCTTAAATTTATTATTCATTCTCCCTCTGGTAAGATTCCACTCATTGCTTCTTGTCCTGCTCTCGGGTGCTATCGAGAATAAATCAACCTCTTCTCCCCTTTCAATTACTATGAAATAAATGAATGGATTCTGAAAATTAATTAGATACAATCAACGTTGTTTTTAGTGCATAGGAATGCCTACAAGAAGTGCCACTTGCCTGCAAGAAACAACTGGAGGAACGGCAAAATAGACAAACAGAATATGAAGAAGCTAAAGTGCTCTGAGACTTTAGAATTCACACAGACGATCATCTGCATACAACACCCCAGACTTAACAGTTGTTGATAAGAAAGAGAGAAAAAAGTGGATAGTGGATGTGACAGTACCTGGAGGCAGCAGAAGAGAAGAGAGAGAAGAGAGAAAACTGAGAAAATAATAAAATACAAAGACCTGCAAATAAAAGTAGAACGATGGTGACAGAAGAAAGCAAAGATAGCATCAGTGGCAATAGGCACTTTGCGTGTAATTCCAAAACATCCAGGGCATCACTTGAACACCATTGGTATTGACAAAATCCCTATCAGTCAGTTGCAGACAGCAGCTTTATTTGGAACAGCTTATATCCTGTGATGATACCTCTAATACCATAAAACAGTATCATTTGCCTATCCCAGTTATTTGGAAGGACTCAACGGTGGACAAAAATGTCAATCTAAACCATAACAATAGTTTTATATATAGTTATTGTTTTTAGTTCTGTTGTTTGCCACCCACAGTAACTTGTTTGTAACTTGGGCCGCTATACATGTATTTTTAACAAATAAACAAACATCGAGTTATATAAGGCATACACAGTAGATATGATATTTTAACCTCCTCTATTACATTCTGTATGTAGATTAGTGAGATCTTAGAGTCATTTCACACACACACACACACACACACACACAAACTTAATTTTGACAAATTAAGTGAAGATTCAAACTTATCTAGACAACATATATGCATTTTTTTTAAAAAAATATTTGAAGCAGTCTTATGGCATCCATTCACACATTTATTATTGTATTTTAATTTAAGATTCTTACGTCAAACAAGCTAAGTTTGGTTTTTTTTCCCCATACTACAATAAAGTATAATAAAATATAGTATAAAAAATGCCTAGCCATATAAATATGGTACACTTTGTGAACACTTTTGTTCCTTATTTCCTTTTTTCAAAGGAAAAAAATATTTATATAAACCCTTTCACCTTGTGTTATTTGGAAAGATCTTTCATAACTATGGACAAGTTCCAAAATATCTAACCAGAATCACTTACAAAACTGTGACTAGAAAAAAGGAGTTCAGTGCTTAATCCTCAGATTAAAATTAGTGGAAAAAATGAAAATAGTTTTAATTTTTAATGAGCACCACCTACACAAATATCCTCAAAAATTAAGAACTATAGCTATTTTTTTAGTAACCAAAAACAATTAGAATATTTCTTGAGAAGCTTTAATGCTATGTCTTCCAAGTCTCTTTATAGATATTATAACAGTTTTAAACAGTTTTTAAAAAATTCTTTTGACAAATGTAATGGGTAAATATGTCGATAGTTTTTTTTTTAAACTGAGAATTTTTCTGCCAATCCTGTTTTCCTGAAAATGAACAGGAAAATAAGTTAATTGGTTTAGTATTAGAAAAGAATAGATACTGTTATACTGTATAGAGTCTAGGACTAAAAGAAGATTGTGGAAAAGGTTACCAGTTGATAAAACATATATATCAAAGTTTCTTTTCCCAGCATTTCATGGTGGGTAGATGAATTCTATTGTTCTGGGTTCTGGGGGAGTGGGGTTATTATTTATCCTTGACACTGGGGAGATTTGTGTCATAGGTTTTTTTTTCTGATGAACAGCTAAATAAATACACACACATACACACATACTTTTAAAATACAAATTTAAAATGCCTAGAAGTATGCATTTTTCATTTTAAAGTGAATAAGTAGATACATCTTAAGACATTTTTAGAACAAGTCTCACATAAATTGTATCCAATGATATGTGTGAGAATACTGTATACGTGTCTCTGTATACCGTATTTGCATCTACATCTATATCACATGGGTTTATGCAATCGTTCAAATTCAGTTCCAAAAAAGATATTCTGGAATGTGTGGGAACATCAGAACAGATTTGAAACTTCTGAAAGGAGCTGCTAAGCAATCCCAGAAAAATATATCGTCCCAAACACTTTGAAGCACCTTTATGGAAGTGAATCCAAAGCAGTAGACAGATTATACTTATATCAACACAAACACAAATAAAGATATAAACATATCTAAATATTGGATACATAAATTTGTTCCCTATTATGTCAGGCAGAATGAAATAATTATTTGTATCAGAGTGAATACAAATGCTAAATAGGTCTGTAATTGCTTTCTCACTTTTATTTTGCAAATTACAGTGTTACTATTATCCAAAAGGACCACAGTGTAGAATTTATTTTTCTCGTTTATACGTGATACCTTGTGCAAAGGGTAACATAGCTATTCTATCAACAGAAAATTTATTTTATGAATTAAAAGCCACAAAGTCTTTATATAGTATTTAATGATTGCCCTCTTTTGTACAGATATCTGTTTCATAACAGATGTTAGGAAAATGTTTTGTACAGATATCTGTTTCAAAACAGATGTTCACAGAATCAAACTACATAAAAATTGTCATGCCTAGTACGGCTCTTTATTTCCAGTTCCATAGTCTTTTTCCACGCATTATTGTTTCTACTGCATTTTTACTAGATATAATATGCATCAGAAATGTGATTTAATCATCAGACCCAGCATATTTTAAGTAGGATTGTCTAACACAAACCATGAGTATTTCAGACAAGGGTAAGTCAGGGAATGGGGACTTGCAAAAATCCTTGATGAAGAATTTGTCACATCATAGCACAAGTAGACTCCTATTTACACATACACGCACTTCATAATAAAGACTACAAATGCTTCCACAGAGGCCCAGTGTCCTTTATTTGAACATGTTATCACTCCAGCTGCAGTGCTGTCTTTCAATGCAGCTTGCAGTCTTGAGAACTAAAAAGTATCCAGAAATTATTTCAGCAGCACTTGTTGCTATTCTCTAGAGCAGTGATGGTGAACCTTTTAGAGACTGAGTGCCCAAAAACTGGCCCGACCCCACTCCACTCCCTGCCCCGCCCCTGCCCCCATTCCACCCCCACCCTGTCCCCTGCCCCGCCTGCCCACAGGGCCACTCACCACCTCCAGGACCCACCGCAGATCGCCCAGGTAGCCCAGCAGCGCCATGGCGGTCATGCCCTCTGCCCGTGCCCCGCAGCATCAACTGTGTGCGATGGGGCATAAGGGCAGAGTCTTGTCTATGCTGCCTGGCTGCCATGTCCTTGGCTGTGCTGCTCCATGTGGGCCACACTCAGGGGGCGACTGTCCTCCAGGGGGGCTGCTGGTGAGGGGGTTGTGGGGGAGTTGAGGCTGGGGCAATGGCACATGTGCCCACAGAGAGGGCTCCGAGTGCCGCCTCTGGCACGTGTGCCATAGGTTCACCACCACTGCTCTAGTGTAAGGGTCTGCAACCTTGACAACTTTAAGACTTGTGGACTTCAGCTCCCAGAATTCCTCAGCAAAGCTTCAAGTTCCAGGCCCCTGCTCTAGACATTTTCACCAAAGCCAGCAGTGGTGAGCCATTTCCAGGTCTTCCCTCACCCTATTCTTTGTGATACCACCAAAGCTGCTTGTCTTTTAATCACAACACATTTAATTTCTGAAAATGAAGTTCTCTTCCCATTGTTTATCAGCAACTAGAACCCACAGCAATTGGGTAACACAAAAACAGGATTTTCTCTTTTAAATCTCCTTTTTTCATTTCAAAACATTCATCTCCAACCTCCACTCTTCACCATTTCTGTGTGTTCCCTTTTTATTTTGTAAATATCAATACTTTTCAACACCCTTTGACCTTCTCTCACCCTTTTATCACTTTTGCTTTTTCCACTAAAAGAAATGATTGACACACGCACCCTTCCCAAAGTAAAAGACTGCCTTGACCATATTTAGAATGCTAGGGCAGGCTTTTACTTCGAGGTTAGCATTTTGCTTCTTAAGCTGCTAGCAAAATGAGCATATCTTTTTCAAGAAAAAAATGAAGCTACTTTTTTCAAAACTAAAGAAGTTCAGAGGAATTCTTGCAGTTATAAAATAGTCAAAAGAAATGTGCAAATATCCTGATGTTCACTTTATAATCATTTTGTACCTGGATTTATTTCAATACCTCCATCATGAGGTAGCTTCTTCCTATAGGCCAGTGATGGCGAACCTTTTAGAGACCGAGTGCCGAAACTGCAACCCCAAACTCACTTATTTATTGCTGGGTGCCAGGTGGGCATGGCCCAGGTGGTCATGGCAGATTGGGTTGGAGTGGCCAAGGTGGGAGTGATCACCTCAATACTGCTCGTGGGAGGGATGCCTGTAGGGGCGGGCAGGGTTGGGGAAGATCCAGGGGGTCTCTGGCAGGTGGGGCGGTGGGCAGGAGGCTTATCCTGTGGGGTGAGGCAAGGCAAGGCAGGGCAGGGGTGCCATTGTCACAGGGCAAGGTGTGGCAGGGGCAGGGGCGGCTGCTGCTTGACACCATTGGCCCCTGCACACAGAGGCCAGCGAGCGCATGGGTGCTGGGATGCTTCAGGCCATGTGGGACCTTGGCAAGTTATTGGCGGCTGGTTGAAGAGGACAGTTGCCATCTCCAGTGCATGGCCTGTGTGCCCACAGAGAGGGCTCTGAGTGCTGCCATAGGTTCACCACCACTGTGCTATATCATGCCAGCAATGACCTATCTATGATGACCCAGCTTGCTTTTCAAAATATAGTTTTCTCAGTTGGCAGCAAAAATACCATTGCTGTTTTAGTGCTTTTCCCTTCACAAGACAAGTATTTAGTATTTTGCTTTAAAAAATAGATTCATGTTAAGCATTCATTTAGTCCATTATACTCCGCTCCCTAAAAAATAAAAACTAGCCAATAATGAGAGCTATTCATATCCAATTCACATTACAGCTGAGAAAAGTTAAGAGGTGACTTGTTGAAGTGGCATGTTTAAAATGCATAAAATAAAATAAAATTAAAAAATAAAATAAAATAATAAAATAAAATATAAAATAAAATATAAAATAATTAAAATAAAATAAAATATTTTTCCTCTATTGAGAATCTGTGAATTAAAGAAACACTTCTTTCTTCAACTATGTGAAGACAGTTCCCTCACCACTCCAAAAGGATGGGATCAAAGTGATGCAGTACATAATTTTATGTAATGTTTAAAATGCATAAAATAAAATAAAATTAAAAAATAAAATAAAATCATAAAAT